GCTGTCTTACGCACTTCTTACGATCAAAGCAGCATGGCCGACAGCGTTGCTCGGTTGGTCGCGACAACCAACGGACGTTTATTTTTCTACGTGCGCTTCTCACGCGTCCCGACTTCAAGCAGTAAGAAAAAAGTAAAAAGTACTTGAAACAAACCACGACGAACGACAAGAACGCTGGATCCACAAACACCCGGGAAAAGCTCCAACGGCCTCGATTACACGGACCCCGACCGAGCGAGCACGGCATGATAGGCCTATCGGGCACTCCGACTCGGCGCAGCGGTGCTCTGACGGTCCTTGGCCAAGACCGTCTGCCCACGACCGGCTGGCGTGCTGAATGGAATATGCCCGCGCGTCCCTTGTGAACCCTTCCCGTATTATAGTTTGATCGCTGACCTCAATTTTAGATTAAGAGGTCAATCTCTTACTCTTGTCATCTTTTCCGAGGCAGCGGTGACGAACGCTGTCGTCGAAAAGGGGCTCTCATCGATTCTATCCCTGTTTTGTGTGATTTCGAGCTCAAATAAACGCCGTATGGATTACCTTCGCAACACGGTATGTACACTTTGTTATTAAATAAATAAACAAATAAAAAAATAAAAGTATTGCATTTTTATTCTGACACGATTGCACCTCACTGTCGATCGCTATAACAGTTCGTGGTTCGCAATGCCGGTCCAACCTTTCTTTGCCGGGTGTCACGTAAGCATCGAGTTGCAATCGTAAAGGATCGGTCCCGAAGCGCTTATCAATTCGCGGTCCAACAGCACGAATCCAGCACTTCGATCAAACGCGTGCGTCCGCTCCGAGTGTGAACAGGTATTACGTGGCTCTTGCTGACACTAATAGTTCAAACTTTTCTTCTTTTTTTTTAACGTCGGCTCGCTCCTGCATCTCCGAGGCCGGAAGAACGCCGCGGCAATTTGTTTCCATCTACGTCGCTTTGCAAACGACTGCGGGCCGTCTTTTACCAACGATGACAGTTGTGTTGACTTCGTAGCGATCGAGTTCGTAGCAGTCAATGGGGGCGGTTAGGCATCCCGGCCTCGGCATTCGGGAGTGTTTAAATCGTGTTAGCGTCGATATATCACTGCACGGACACGAACCCCAGACAAGCGGTGGCAGAAAGACCGCCTGTGTTTGTTACTTATAATCCACGTGCTCCGAACGGCTCCGAACAAATGCCCAGCTCTCCGATTGGTTGTTCGTGTTGCCGACGGCTTCGTCGCCATAGCAACAGCGCCGGTAAGTTTTATTTTTCCGTACGACAACGTCGCTTTCCTCCTCTCACTTAAGAACGCGCTCGTGAATACCGATTTCTCCTCTTCTTAAAGGACACATGCAAAGGAAAAAAACATTTTTTTTAGACAGCTTAGATGGAAAAAGGATGTCATAAAACGATTTTACAACGAAGAAACAAAATTTTTAGAGCTATATTTACGGCGCTATACGAATTTGTAGTTGGCGCTCGCGGGAGCCGCTGCTGGTCACGTGGCAGGCCCGCGCGCCGCCGCGCTGCGTTGCCGCCGCACGCTGAGCGTTGTGCGAACGCCGCTTCAACGCGTTTCTCCAAGCCGCCGTCGCCGCCGCCGCACAAGTTCGTCTGCTTCGGGGCGCCGCCGCCGTCGTCTGACCGGCGCACAGGTCTATCACGTCTGCTTGCGCTTTTTCAGGAGTTTCCTTTGGGCTCTAAAAGTTACTTATTCGTCTTGGTTTTTTGTTATACTTCAAACAAAGATGAATAAGTTACTTTTAGAGGCCATAGGAAGCTTCCGAAAGAGCGCAAGCACCACGTGATAAATAAAGACCAGTCACGTGATAAATACAGACCACTTTTCCGCGGTGCCCGCGGGCGCCAACTACAAATTCGTTTTGCGCCGTAAATATAGCTCTAAAAATTTTTTTTCTTCGTTGTAAAATCGTTTTATGGCGTCCTTTTTCCATCTAAGTCGTTTAAAAAAAATGTTTTTTTCCTTTGCATGTGTCCTTTAAGGGGTGTCCAAACAGGACACTACAAAACGCAGGGCTCCGACAAATTGGAGTCGAGGCGTTAAGTTGTCAAGTGCCTTGGATCCAGAAATGGAAACCAGTGGTTTCTGGTCAGTTTCGAGTTGGAAACTTGTCCCGACCTGAAAGTCTCAAAATTTTCCACATGCCCAAACCAGGGCGAGGCCTTTCTTTTCAATTTGTGTGTAGCGGCGCTCGGTGTCAGTGATGACTCTCGATGCATAAGCAACAACCTTGAAGTATCCTTGAAGCGGGCGCGTCCGCTTCAATTTTCACGATTTGTCGGAGTCGTGCGTTTTGTAGTGTCCTGTTTGGACACCCCTTAACGATGTTCTTAACTTACGAACTTCTTAGCTAAGAAGCTCTTCGTGAATCTGCACTTCCGAAAGTCGCAGGAAAGGTAAGACAGACGCAGACGATGTTGCGAGCAGACGACGTTGCAAAGGAGCAGACGACGCTGAGATAGGGGGTCGCGATCAGCCAATCAGGGCTCGGCGTTCTGACGTCACCGCTACTTCGTTTCTCATGCGCAGAAGACGAAAATGAGCCCACTTGCGCCATGCTGAAAGCGCCGATGCCGTGTTCGCGCTAACAGTGTCCGACAGTGCACATAAATACACGTACGAAGCGGTTTAAGCACCGTTTTTCACGCCACGAATTCGAAATAAAAACGCAGTAACTGACCAATTATTTCGTCTGCGTAACTGAGAAATGTTCGAATGTACCCAGTACCATAGCCTCCTCTGCTCGACCACGCCCTCTTTCCCCGTATTGTTTTCTTTAACAGTCCGAAATACCTGCAAGGGGAAGAAGGAAGCTGAAGCACCCCCCCCCCCCCCCCCCCTCCCCCTTCGCTACCCTCTTTCCCCCGTTTTTCCTCTTTCGACGCCACTTGTATGGTAGAACGCTCCTCGACCTCGAGTTGTGTCGGCTTTTGTGCTTTTTGCGAGGCGATTCCTCCGTCCCAGAAAATAAACCCCCAGGACAATTATAAACTTCACCGGATCGGATTACTACCAGCGTGCAAGGGGTGGCGAGCTAGTTTGCCAAGTCGCATCAAGGTTTTTCTGAGCCTCAACCTCCTGCTCGCCCCTGGCCGTTTCGAACTGGTTGAGTCTCGTAAAACAGTGGGTTCGTGCAATCACTACTGCGTGATGCAGGTTGAAGACCCCCCCCCCCGGGCTGGCGGTCACAATTCTGCACTGGCAAATATTCTAGCACGTCCGGGACACTCGTCGTCTCATTTAATTGCCTGACCAACTTCGCAGAATCTAGATATCACACCCTAAGTTTTCTAAACTTGATTTTGTGAAAACCAGTGAGTCGTGAAAACGTTATTTGATACTGAAACTGTGGAAAAACTTGAAAATCGGACTTCGAACTTTGAAAACTTGGATTAGAGAAAAAATCAAAATCTTCGAAGTTTTTTTTTTTTTTTTTTTTTTTTTTTTTTTTTTTTTTTTTTTTTGAATTTAACGTTAAAAGAGAATCGAAACTTTCGAACTTTATGCAAAAAGAAATTCGAAATCTTCGAATTGTTCGAACTTCATGTCTATAAAAATTCGAAACGTTCGAAGTTTTCGAATTTTTTTTTACAAAGAATTTCGAAATCTTCGAATTTATCGAACCTGAAGTAAAAAAATATTCGAATATTCGAATTCGAAATTTTAGAAACCGTGAAAGCTTCGAAATTTTCGAATTCGAAACACCGCTGTGGTCAAAAGTTGCGAATTTTTCGAAATCGAACCTCGGTCGGTACGAAAATATCGAAATTTTTCGAATCGAACCTCAGTTCGCTTCGCAAATATCGAAACCTTTCGAAATCGAACCTAGGGTGGTTCGCGACATCCCTAATTCTAAACACCAACTCATGTTTATAAACAAACCGGAGCGCCCCTAGCGGACGCCACCGGTGCCGCGCATGCGCGATGGGGGTGTGGGCAAGAAGCTCGCCGTCGCCCATAAACAAACCATTGAAATGCGATGTTGTCGGCGTCGGTGCGAGTCCCCCTGCCCTTTTTCGCGTTCGCATTGTTGATTCCACGTCTTCCTGGCAAGGTCTGACTACTTCAGCGGCGTCAGCGAAATTACCGAGGCTCGTTACACCGCAAAACTTCGCGTGAATAATGTGACATGCGGCGACTCATACCGCGTGGACGCCGCAGAATGTACGCTAAAGCCTGAGTCGCATGATGAGATTTCGCTCACAATTCTCAGTCCGGACGTCGGTCGGGCTGCAAAAGCGTGAACCGTAGCTGAGATGGTCGACGTCGATGCTGAAAATCTCAAGCGGAATCGGACCAAGTGAATCAGGCATAACAAGTCGGTGATGGCCACTGGTAACAATTATCAATGCATCCTTGTATCTACTGTTTACATCCAGCCTGGTACCAACCTTCAAACTTGAGTCTTTTGAGGCCTGCACTTACTTCTTGTCACAAGTACCGGACCCACGTTTGGTCAACGGGCCGGTGTCGTCTAAAAGAGCAGACGACAAGCAGAAATGTTTGAAAGAGCAGACGGCAGTTTAAACAGTCAAGCGGCCGTTTGAACTTGAAGACGCACTGAGCGTAGTCCGCAGGTGGTCCGTACAACCTCGCGGTTTTCCGCCGTTCACGTTTTGAACAAAACAAATACATTTGATGACCAGAAGTATCCGTGAATTCAATCCAAAGTGCTTCCCGCCCAAGCAATCGTGGTCGGCGGCGTCTGGTTTTCCCTTTTCACGGCACATATCCACCATCTCGGACGAACCGAGCACATGAAAACTGGCCTTCAAACCTTTCTCGACTCTTTTAGTACAGCCCCAGTCGCGGCGTTTTGACGAGAAGGCAGGTTTTTGTCAGGTTCCTTTCAAAACAACACGTCTCGCATGGGGACTTCTGCCCACAGCTCCAGACCGGAAGTGCGACTGACGCGCCACCACCGCGCCATGACGTAACAGAGATGAGTTCGTGTAGACGCGCGCGACGCGTCCTGTGTAGAATTTTCGAGAGGCGTTCACTCGCGCCACCACTGCCACCGCCACAACCTCTACCAGCGCTACGAGCGCCTCATTTTTATGGTTATCGATTTTAGCTGCCGGCCTTGTTTGCGTTGCATCCACTCAATATGGTGGAGGATGGGCGGCATGTGAATGCAAGCGCAGAGTTTATTCACCGTATCAATGCCAAAAACTGCAAAGTTGTCGCATGCTTCGTCGTGACCGGGTTCATTGTCTACCACGGCATCATACACTTGACGTACGGTACGGAGTGTCCCTCACGTTTGCTTGTGTTCTTTTGTGTTTTTTTTTTCCTCTCGTTTCCGAATTTTTTGGGCGCTGCTACCATGTCTGTGGTTTTCTCATTCGTTTCTTTTAGTCACCGACCACCGGTGACTGCTGCCGAAAAGGTAGCGCCAGTTGTGTGCCGTTTGTGGTGCCGAGACGCGTGCATTTACGTAGAAAAGGGCGCGCTCCTCGCGCATTTACGATCACGCTATGGCGCACTGCTGCTTTCGTCTCGCGTAAAGAAAACTTTGGATGTTTGTGGCAGAAACGGAGGTACTTAAGAGGCAGCGCCTCAGCTTTTTTTTTTTTTCCTTCGGTGCAGTGATTGTGGTGGGAACATGTTAATGGCAGATGGTGCTGTTTTTGTATTATGCTGTCCAGCAACTGTGATTCGGAGATTCAACTCGGCCGTCTCTTCATAGTGAACCCCTTTTCTTTCCTAGGCATTGACACCTGCAAGTGGCTCCTGAGTGATGGAAGGTTTCAAGGGTATCATGTGTGGCAGCCCTATGGGTGCATGTTGCACACCTACAGCAATGCGTAAGCACCAAGTTCTCGTTCTATGTTGTTTTCAAGTTCGTTTGGTGCGTTTAGTTGTCTTACCTGCAAGTTGACAGATACCAGGCAGCTTCTGCATTATGTGGTTATTGCTGTGTGGTTAGGATGCTGGAAGGCATGTTTTGAATCGACCAGTGGCGATGCCATCAATTTTGTTCAGGGCGGTCTGGACTTGCGAACAGTTCAAGTGCCTCATTGCGGAGTAATCAAACTCAGACTTGCCACCTCGAATCCCGGCAGTCAAATAAAATGTTCCACCAAGCAAGCTTGTTTGTATATCAGTGAACTTCAATGTATTTTCTGAAACTGAATGTACCAAACTTTTAATGGTTTAAATTTTTTAACAACTCTGCACATGTTTTGCTGGTAGTAACATTGGCATATGTTCCTCATGTCAACTTTTTTTTTAATAAAAAAAGGCTCCGCACTCTGGCCTTTTTTTAGCTTGCCCTTCCCCGCACACCAACCCATACTGACTGTATTCTACGAGGAGGAGATTGTATGATGCACATTAATTCAAAAGACTTTTCGTTAGCCGACACCTGCTCTCGTCTCACATCTAGCTAACATTATTAAGGTAGCAATTTGGGCCAGTTGGTTCATGATCACCTAAAGAAGCGCAAAAAATACAAGGACAAGGAAGTAGACAGACAAGAGCGCTTGTCTGTCTACTTCCTTGTCCTTGTATTTTTTGCGCTCCTTTAGGAGCTAACATTACTTTTGTTTCACATTGAAAAATTGGAGAGTGTATATTTTGGCCCCCTAAACCTTACCTCTGGGTTTTCCACTGGAATTGTTTATGTTTACCATATTTTTGTGAATACAAACAGTTGCCTAGAACTGTTTGCTTCACTTATGCTATTTTATGCCAGTGGATGATATGTTTTGCTGCCTCATTGGACCTGTCATCAATGCAACCAAGCTTGAAAGCTAGAACTTTCACACCCCCCCAACCCAATGCTATGTTTCCTGCACCACCCTAGCAAGGTGTGAACTGTAAAGGGACACTAATAAGGTATTTTTTTCGCTCAAAGTCTGGCTTTCTGTTTTATTTACTGAAACCGTGGGTTGAGTATCTGTTATCCGGCGTTCAGGTGTACTCGTGCTCCTTTCTGTGACCTCATGCTAGTGGGGACATGGTACATGAAATATCTTCAAGTTTGTAGGCGACCTAGGGCACATATCATTAATGAAAAAAATAGAGTTTAAAAATATTAATTTATAACGGCATGTAGCGACCTTTTATGAATTAGTGAAGATTCACTTGCCTTAAAGAGACATTGACAGGGTATTTATGCTCACCAATGCTTTTATTTGTACATGACATATTAGAGCCCAACCACCCAGAACACAATTTGCGACTCAATATTTATTTTCTTTCCGTCAAAAACCAGCGAATAAGAACTGTCCGGTTGGAGTTGCGCTCACTCTCTTCTCGGTATAGACCAGAGGTCTAAACCCATTTGAATGTGGGGGCCAGATAACCAACACTGTAAAGGTCGAGGGCCAACGTAAGACGGGGGGGGGGGGGGGGGTAAAGTGTTTTAAAGTGAAGAGACCTTATGCTCTATGCTTTTCGTAAACTCAGTTTTGCCAATCACATCTTTAGATTTGATTCGTTTATATGACTATTTTTGATCCTGACCTGATGGGATGAAAATAATTAAAATGACACCACCCCGCCAACGTTCTGTCATTTGTAATAAAACAAGAGAGCGAGTAGACTGTCGTCCCCTATGCTGAATTCACTCAGGAATTAAGCAAGCTCAACATGTCTCTAAAAAACAATCGGTAAATTTGACAGTTATTGCTTTCCTGAAGATTTTTATTACAACACTGAACACACACTTGTCTTTCAATTGGTATATTTTTTTAAAGCGAGAATCCCGAGGTCGAAGATTTATCCTTGGCAGTTGCTCCTGCTGAGTGAGAGTCTGCGCGGCTGAGTTGCATCCTTCAACGAAGAGCTCGCGCTAGCAGCCTAATTGTTGTACATTACAAAAAGGTGGGAGGCAACAAATCAAGCAAAACAAAGGGCAAATGAACACAAATAAGAATAAACTATGCGAATACGTTAGAAGAACAGAGCAACAATGAATCGACGAAATGAAATCACTATGGCACTTGCCAATTCTAGGGCTTGAGGCATGGGAACCGGGACTCGTAGCCAGTTGCCAGCGTGCCACGTCCCAGCGAGTCGCGGGCCGGATGCGGCCCGCAGGCTGCGTGTTTGAGAACCGTGGTATAGATGCACACACTGAATAAAGGCCGAGGCTACATCCACGCGCGGGGACGTAACCAAGTCGGGAGAAGATGAGGCTCCATCCGCGCAAAAGGGCACGTGACTTATGAGATAATTTGTTTTTATATACATATGCTTTCTTATAAGTAAATATTGGATATCAAAATAAAGAGGTTATATTTTATGGTTGTGTTGAAGTTAATATATCACGTGACCTTACAAATTCTTAAACAATTTATCAATTTTTACTGCTTTCTAAGACTAAAAGCAAATATTGTGCGTCATAAAAGTAGTATCAATAGGTATCCTTATAGTTATGTTGTTCAGGAGTCACACACGTGTGGGGGGTGTACGTGCCTTCCGTGCATGTGGGCGTGCAGCCATGTGGTGCGGGCTTGGTTGGTTTGTTGCGGCCTCCAAGGCCTTCGCCCATGTGTGCATCGCTGCAGAGGCGAGGTGGTGAGGCTTCGTGGTGTGTGTGGTTGGCTTGGTTCGAGGCGTTTTAGTGTGAGCTTATGTGCATCGAAGGGGACAAGTGCGAGCCCACCGCTCTGTACGTTCTTGACTTGCGCGCACGCTCGCAATCTCACAAAAATTGAGAGAAGGGAAAACATGCATTAGTCCTAGTAATAGCAAACATACTGAGAGCATTCAATCGAGGAAACTGGGTAAAAGATTCCAGAAACAGTTTATTCCATGAGAAATAAAACATTAGCCGATGTACAGAAGCCAGTCGCCCACGAGGTCAGATGAACCCGAAGCCTTTCTTGCGGCAGAACTCCTGGAGAACGCCCACGCAGGAAGTGACATTGCGCGTGGATGGAGCCTTATCTCCTCCCAACTTGGCTACATCCCCGCGCGTGGATATAAGCACTCCCCTGAATAAATCAAAGTCGTGGGTCATCAAAGGCACACACTCAATGTTAGAAATAGAAAAGAAGTATGATGGGGGGGATCGGTGGCCGAGTGGGCTAGCACACACCACCTCACCAGCTACGAGTCTACTTCTGCAACCAACAGTTGTAACGGCAGATATGAAATGTCACATTTTCGTGTAAAATTTAAGAGCCTTATTCTGTGGTTAGAAGTGAAGAGTTTTTAAGTGTGGCCAATATTTTTTCATCTTTGCGGCTGTTGGCTATTGGCATTTGCTTACTGTAGAAAGAGCTGTCAAGTCAGGAAAAGAGATTTGTGAAGTCTGATAGTATGCTTTTGTTGACCTTTCCGGCAGCCATTTTGCCTGGATGAATGCTCGCTACATGCCACTCTACCCCTACTGTCACTACATTTGTCTTCAAATAAGTTGTAGCGGAACATGACTAATTTCCCCCGTCCTGTGTTGAACTAAAACATCTGAGATCAGCTAACACGTTTGAAAAGCCAAAATAATTGCTTCTTTCTTTGACAAGCAAATCTTGTGAGAAGTACTTTGTGCAGCGCATGAATAATGTGCAAAAGGTACTTTTTGCTTGATGTGACAACAACTATAACTGTAAACTTTGGTAAAAAAAAAAAAAAAATTAGGAATCTGCAATACTATGCAGTCCTGCTAAACATACTGTATGTACAATGCTTCTTACCTGTATTGTTTTGTTTTCACAAGCATACCTGATAACAAGTGCAGTCAACCCCGTTTATTACTAACTGTACGAAACTTCCGATACGGATAAAACATTTTGGCGTGCTCGATGTAAGGGTTAATTTGCTGTACCCGAGTTTGTAATCGAGATTGATTGTATTAGGATGATTTGAATAAAAACCTTAAAAATGCAATAGAGTTGCAAACAGTATTACTATACGATTGACTTGGTAGTTGACAGATGTTATCCTTGTGTTTGAAAGAATGACCAATAGGTGGCAGCATGTTGCTGCGACACAGAAGGAAGCAGCGTCAGTGCAAAGATGGCCGCCATTGTCGACATGCATTGCGTTAGAGCAGCGATCTGTGATGCTCTTTTTAAGTAGTGAAGGTGTTAAAGCAGTTATATTTTATCGCAGGATGAAAGTGCTGTACGGTGATCTGCAGCAACTGTATGAGTGGACTAGAGGGTTTAAAAGCGTCGTAACTTCTGTGGAGGATGCCCCCCGACCGGGCCAGGCACACTGTGCAGTGACAAATGAAAAGAGTGCCGCAGCAGAAGCACTTCTGAAGGAAAACAGGCATATTACTGTGGAGGAAATAGCCACTATTTTCAGTGTTGGATAAAGTACATCTAAAAAGTACTTCAAGTAATGTACAATGTAAATGAGAGGTGATGTACCTAGTAAAGCTGCAAGTACACTGGGTGCAATGTACTTGTAAAGTATACTATAAGTCTTTTTCTTTTATTTATTTATTTGAAAATACTTTTAGCCCTCTCTTGAGGGCCATTACTGGGAAAATATCAGTCACTGTAACAACATAAAAAAAAAATGCCAACATAAAACATGGAAGATTCAGCAGATCGACCCTTTTTAAGAACAAGCAATGGCAACGAGGCGGAACCGTAGCATTCTAAACGTATAAAAAATAAACTTATCTTAAACAATCATTACAAAATACAGTTTCAAAACCTGTTGTTTTGAACCATTATTGGTTTAGCAGCTGTGCATCATATCTTAAAACGACACTTACCTAGGCTACACACAAATCATTTTTAAAGAGTTTAACATCTCTGCCACGAATAGCTTCGGCTATAGCGCGCTTCAAATATGGCACAAACGACAATCGTCAAAAACCTCTCGTCCTTCCTCGCTCCTTCGGGAATTTATTCCTTTAAAACGAGGTATGCCAGAACATTGAAATAAATGGCATTGTCTTTCGCAAGGAGTGCGGCACTGCACGTAAAAATTCGAAAGAAAAAAAAACAACTAATGTACCGCACTGCTTGAATCCAAATGAAACCGCCCACTGGTCTTTCGAAGTTCAACGAATTTATGACTTTTCAGAATTTGGAAGTCCGAAAATTTTCGAATTTTCTAGTTAAATAAGTTTGAAAGTTCGAAAATTATTGATTTTCTTTGCATTGGAAGTTCGAAAAGCTTCGAACTTTTTAGTACATGAAGTTTCAAAGTTTGAAAATCATCAAATTTTTTAGTCTATCAAATTCAAAAGTTTGACAAGCATCGAATTTTGTAGCGTAATAAGTTTGAAGGTTAGGAAAAACATTGCATTTCTGAACGTGCGAAGTTCGAAATTTCGAAAAGCCTCGAATGTTTTAGTTTAACAAGTTCGAAAATTCGACTTCCGTAGAATTTCTGATATAGAAAGTTCGAAAATTGGAAAACTTTCAAACCGCTTGATTCGATCATAGAAACTTCAGTTCGAAAGAAGTTTGCGGCATCCCTACTGGGGACATGTCAAGCTGTTTCTAACACTTTTTTTTCCTAGCCTCCACCAACCCTGTATGCTGTTGCTGCTGTTGAAAACATGCTATTATTAAAACGATGAAGAGGTGAAAAGTGAGGTGCGCGAGTGGCTACAGTCACTGCCAAAGAATTCTTATCACAAAATATCTATGCACTTCCGAAGGAGTGGAATATGTGCATTGCACGTCATGAGGACTACGTCGAGAAATGATATACCATGTCTATTATTTTTTATTATTTTTTGTATTTCCTCATTTGCCTCATAATAAATAAGTAAGGTTTTCATTTGAATCATCATTTGAATCACCTTTGTAGTATAAATTCAACTCTGCTGGCAACATGTCTGCTACCTTAAAGGGGTACTCCGCCGTTTTCTTCATAGTCCCCAATTTGCCTAAAAACTTGCTAAAAACAAAAAACAAACATCGCTGAAGTAGTAATCCAAATATTTGGACAAAATAACTTTTTTTCGCGAAGTTACAGAATTTACAATTTCGGTCCTCATCGTGTTTTTCAAAGTGAAAAGCTGTACTGGCAGCATTGAAAAAGTGACGTCATGGGAAGGCAAGGGTTCACTCTTTGGGCTGTAGACTTTGTTCCCAACTGATTCCAAACAGGTTCATGGTGTCAAATGAATGCTTTGGAAGGTCGCTTCAGCTCCCCCGCAGCAGCACGAAACAAATGCTCGGCATAGTTCATTTTTAGACTGCCCACTGAAACCGCTAGCCTGCCATCCCGTGATGTCACAGCAATGAAAAGTGCGGGTATATTCGAATCTTCTTTTTGACGTCATTTTCATTTGCTGATTTCTAAACTATTCTAAATTTTGTGATACTAAATAGCATACCGGAAAGAGTAAAGGATGGCAATTTCGAAAATATAGTTAGAAGTGGGTTGCTAAAAAAATTGCCAGAGTACCCACCTTTAAAGGGACCATGAAAGGATTTTCCAACTTTTTTCAAATGAAGACCCTAATTAATCTTCAATGTTTATGGAACCTAGAGCAGGAATCCGTCTTCATTTTATTGCCTCCAGTTTGCACACAAAAAAAAATAAAAAAGAAAGGTCACATCTGCTTTCCTCTTCCGCTTGACCGGACTCAGCCATCAATATGGGAAATCACATGGCCGTGACATAAAGTATGCCTTTCTACCCAAAACGAAAATTTCCCCAACCAAGCGAGGGAGCCGGGTCGGTCAAGCGTCGCGTTGTGTCGACTTTTCGACTCAAGGACGTCAGAACGACGTCGCCTCGTGAGGTTTTCATGAACGCCAATTGCTTTGTAGAATTCATTGATCCACGATGTTTGTGTGATCAACGCCATGATTATGGATACGTCGGAGCCGAGTGAAGTGCCTTGTTCTGTACGCCCGGATGCCCACATGGCGAAACGAGAACTCTCTGAACGAAGGCTGTAGGAGTTCGGTGCCGGAAGCACCTGGGAAGGAGTGGCGATTAATAAGCACGGAATGGTAGGTTCACATTTCAGCTGCAAACACAAAATGCTAGAAATTAAGTGATATGAGTAATATAAATTACTAATGGAGTTTCTCGTGTAGAAACCTCTCGTGTTCTCGTTAACGCTGGTGCATATGCAACCGGATATTGAACTTTGACGTTTCCGTCGAGAGCATTTATAGACAATTTCATTGTTTGTGAGCACAGCTCGAGTGACACACTGCTCGTATCCAATACGGAAGCTTAATTCAACTGGCGTGCTCGGAAAAAAAATGGGAAAAAAAGACTCCGACACTGTGGATGTTGCGGTTACTTTGCAAGGTGGCGCAAACGGACGCCCATTCCAGAAAGTTTCACCATAACTCCTTTATTAATCCACCCATTCATACACAGCTTCGTTGTGAGCGTTTGAGGGAAAGAGTGTAAGATATAGTCCGCTTTTATTTGCCAAAATATCATGCTAAAAATTTGAATTTAGTCTTCCTAATCTCGCGTGCTAGTTTTCTTTTGATCCCATAAACAATATGCGACCAGTAAAATCTGTCTAAAATCGTTTTATGGTCCCTTTAAGATTATGGTAGACTCTTGTTAGTTACACCCCAATAATTCATTGTCGTGGCTAATTCAAAGTTATCTGAATAGTTTATTGACTGGCTATCGTGTCAATGCTTTTGTAATCGCTCGTATATCTTCTCAAAGTTCAGCAGAGCTCTGAAAGCTATGAGAGCCGTCCCCGGTATCTACCCAGTCAAACCACCTTGGTGGCGCTACGAATGAGACACTTGCCAGAAATACTGTTCTAGAAGAATCCAGGCAGTTTATATTGCTCCTTTCATGGTTGCCAGATCCATAATTGTCGAGCCTCATTATTGATTCTGGAGTGTTAAGCTAGAAGCCAACTCTGGAAAGGTATTTCTGGCTCTGTGACAGGATTTGAATGTAGCATATATACATGCGGTTTGTTTCTTTGCATGCTTATGTTGGTGATTCCTTGTGCAGGCTGTTTTTTAAATATGTTGTTGCCTAGTTTTCGGATAATTGAGACAGAATTGACCACTCCTTCATACTTGAATCAATGAGTGTCTACTGTAATAGGGTAAAGCTAACTGCACTGGCATAAAATGGAAACATTATGACCCCTTGTATGGCATGTGCAAGCGCATCAAACCTTGTGCTTGTTTTTTGATTGAAGAGCCTGCGCTCTCTACTGTTATTTCGCCCTGTCGGTTCTCCAGAACCAACATTTTCAGCTCATTTGGATTGAAGGAACTGACAGATGCATCAGTAATGCCTGCAAGAAACAGTGCATTGCAGGCTTCCCTGCTTGTGTATGGTTCTTTACACTTGGGGCAAGAAGGCACACTTTCCAGGTGGCTGTTTGAGGAAATGCGCATCAGATGGGGAATCTGTTGGCTCTTGCAGGGAATCACGGATGTGCATGCGGTACATTGCCTACTGGGGAGGCAAGAACCATATTGTCTTCATGGGGGACTCCCGCATCCGCCAGCTCTACCTGGCCTTTGTGCATCAGGTGCAGCCGTCATCGTCGCTCCCAGAGGAGGACCTCAAGGAGAACATACACCACAACCTCAAGTTTGTGGACAAGGACCTCAAACTCACAGTGGTGAGACTTATGAGGCCAAACCGAATGATCAGTGAGAGGTGGGGATAGATTAAGAATGCAGCAGACGCTCGTTGCCTTCTGTCGAGCTTTGGCAGCATGTGTGCTGAAGTATTATCAAAGGCAGCATGCTTGCACTGGAGGCAGAGCATCTACTGCATTCTTAATCTGTCGTCGACTGTAGGGTCTTTAGGAACTTTAGACGGTTGTCTTGGCTTGGAATCCAGCTGGCAGTTTTCATTCCTGCTTTCCCCCTTTCCCAATGGCTGCAAACAAGCGAGCCAAATCTAAAGGCACTTCATCGAACAGCCCTGAATGCTGCTTTTCTCTCTCTGAGATTCTCCCATCCCCCCAGAGTCTGGACAATAGGTCCATCGACAACAGCAGAAAAGCCCATTCACACACTTGCATTTGTCTACGATGGAACGAGAAAAGACCGGTTTTTAAGCAGACGGCTTACGACCAGATGTGCGGCCAGTCGTAAGCTGTCACAAGAGGCTTAAAAACTGGTCTTGTCTCAGTCGGTCGTAAGCAGACGGCTTACGACCAGATGTGCGGCCAGTCGTAAGCTGTCACAAGAGGCTTAAAAACTGGTCTTGTCTCAGTCGGTCGTAGTCACACACAAGTGTGTGAACAGGACTTAAAGCAGAAGGGAAAGGCTTGCCATTGAAGATTTTTCAGGGAGGCCTGTGAGTATGAAATATACCATAATAAACAAGATGTGCCAGTCTTAAGATAAACAACAAGCGCTAGTGTTTGTGTGTAGATGTAAATAAAGGGCAAAATGAAAATAAATGCGAAGATGAAAATGTGGAACGTTGACGACATTTTTATGTTGTTGGATCGAAGGTCATGCGAGTTGTTTGCATTTGCTGTCTTTCTGATAGCATAAATGTAACTTGGCCGCCAACATGGCTGCCGCATTTGCCGGGATGGAAAAAAGTGTGGACTTTTGTTTTTAAAAGATCAGATCAGAATTATATGATTTAAATCATATTAATCTGATCTTGAATCACTGTAGCCAGGAAATGTGAGTCTTTATTACTAGATGTAGTTTTAAACATGGCAGATTGATTGGTCAACCTGTCCAGTCACTGAAAACGATACAGAAAAAATAAATACTAAATTTAAAGCACAGTCAACTGTCCAATCACTGAAAACAATACAGAAAAAAAATAAATAATGTAAATTTAAAGCACAGTTAACAACCTTTTATTCTTGTTAGCTCCACCATGCTTGAACAAAAGCTTTATTTACTTTTTCTTTTGCGCTATGATTTGCTTGCAATACAGTGAAACCCGTTTAGAACGAACCCAGGTACAGCGAATTATTGTTAATATCGAACTCGTGGAAAATTTAGATAAAAATGCATGTAAAAAGTACTTTTTATAACGAACACCATATTGGGTATATCAAACTTTTCCCCCGGGAAGGCTTCCAAAAACGTGCAAACAATCGCCTTCTAGCCTGTCCCTTCCCCTCCACAAAAAAATCTAGGAAAGAAAGAAATTCTAAAAGCTCAAGCCGCGAACAAAGTTGACAAAGAGAAGCGATTAAGAAGGGGAGAAAGCACCAAAAAAAAAAACTGCACGCACTGAAAGAAAAAAAAAATTCATCCCAAAGCGGTTGCCTACGAAGAGAAGTTATTCGGAAGGGGAGATAAGCTAAAAAAAACTGCAAGCATGCAAAAAATACAACAAAAAAAGACATTCCAGCGCTTTGTTACAAGGTGAAAGGGAAGAGATGAAAAAGAAAAAGAAGCTCTCGCCTTACAGCGAACGCATCGTGGAAGTTCGTTGTATATGGTTTTTTGCTATATCGAACTACTTGCTATATCGAACTGATTGGAGAGTTTCCTGCTGTTCGTTATAAATGGGTTTGACTGTAGCACATTACATAACTGACCAACCAAGTAGAAAGGTAAAAAAAAGAGCTTGACATTCTGATTTAAGAAAAATGCCGCCTTTTGCTAATGTTCATCATAGTATATAAGTATTTCTTACTTGATTATTCTTTATTTGTATACGAAACAAATGCCCACAGAAAGTGTGAAATGATAAAAGAAACAGTAAACAAATTATTTTCAGGATTAGTATTGTGGGAAAAGTTTGATTTAAAGGGGTACGGAAACGAAATTTTAAGGCTGAGTTTATTGCTTAGGCATATACCACGTCGCATCAGCACCTGAGAAATACCAGTCTTTCGTTTGTAAACACAAGAAAAGTAATTCTAAAAGAAAGGAAACAATTTCCCACTTGCTTCTGGGAAGTGGGAGGCCAAAGCTGTGTTGGGGGATTTGTTACTCCTCCCGCAGTGGCACCACCCTCGGCAGTACACCATACTCATATTGATAACCTAGCCGGGAACGAACTTGGCGAGTTGGCCTGTAGATGGCTTGCGCTGACTCGCGTGACGCACGACTGTTTGGTACCGGCGAATTGTTTCTGCGTTTATTCATCACATTTGCGTGCATGCCACGCTGTTGCGCCAAGAGGGCTGCAGCAACAGCATGCTGAACTGCAAGACGCCGACCCACGGGGTTCCGAAGGATGAGAAATTCTGAAGCGTGTGGATGCGTCTATGGGGCACCGGTGAAAACCGATCACCTTGTATGGCAACCGTTTTCGTGATGAGGACTATGAAAAGCGACCCACTGTCCTCGGGAGTCTGGGTCTTCCTATCAAGAATATTCAGTTGCTACCAGGGGTTGTGCCGACCATTTTTTTTCCCCAGAAAAGCAGAAGAGCTCGACAAACCGCACAAAAAGTGAAGGATAAATAGTAAGTGAGCATGTTGTTAATAAAACACCTAACAGCGCATACCCCCAAGCTGGTGAATCATTATTAAATGCGAGGCATTTCTCGATGACCCAGACCTCCTTCACATTTGTCGGATGGACGGTCGGTCTATTGGGTGCTTCGTACGGTTCTAGCCCGAATCGCCTGTCCGTCAGCATGTGCGAGAGTGACTGCTCGTCCTCTCTGACGTCTACCGAGTCCCCTTGGTAGTCGAAATCCTCGTCCTTTCGAGTTCATAGATCATGGCAGAACGCACTGCGAACTACAAGTGCCGGAATGAATGTCACGACGGTCATCATGCAGCTGTGCAGTCCTCCGCCACTCCGAAACGTGAGATTGTAACACGCAAAAGCCTCCGCGTGGCGGCGCTAATAATCGCGCCAGCCTTTGGATGTGATGATGAGCCTGACGTCACGATTGCAACAAAGTTCCCATGACGCATCGCAACCTCTATGGCTGATTTAAAAAAATATAGCTATCCACTCAAAATACGAATGTGCAATTGTCATTTACAGATATCGCAGGTCGTATTTCACCCATTTCGGAAAGGTTTCCATACATTTTGGTTTTCGTTTCTGTACCTCTTTAAATCATCACAGTAAACAGGTGTGATTTAAATCACAATTTAAATCATGATATAAATCACAATTTAAATCATGATATAAATCACAATTTAAATCATGATATAAATCACAATTTAAATCGTCTTGATTTTTATTTTTCACCATGCTTCTGCCCATATGGTATTGCCTTGTATCGGCCAAACATGTACTCTCTAAAGGGATACTACAACGAAATTCCAGCTCTTATTTTTTGGTCTACGTGTTCAAAGTAGTAGTATCACATCGGACACACACAAGAAAAGGAATTTTAAGACAAATGAAAGGACTAGCAAAGAGCACCTGGTGGATGTCACTAAAGCCTCATTTGTAATGCCCGTCTAGGAACCTTGGCAGGTAGTGACGGTAACTGTCTCGCCTAGGACTATACGTGCTTTGAACCTGACGTCATCCCGACAGTTCTACGGCTAGCACAAGAGAAGAAGGGAGGGAAGAACTCCAAACTTAACGGGACTCTCTTTTGTGTGTCCCAGTTGTCGCTATTCTCCCTCAACAAGAATATAGAATATTAACCCGTCACTCAAAATTCACACAAAAGCGGCTTTGCGGTTATAGTCAGTTACAGGTCAAGAAGGTAGCGGCAAATGCCCCTCAAAGGGAATCAGATATCCCTCCGCCACCTCTGCATCCAATAGCATTCCGCCGCTTCCGTGACGTCGCTGCCAACGCGCGAGGAAGGGCTTGCCTTTCTGTACATATTTGCTTTATCTTTCTACTTTTACTTAGCATTGTGGAAGGCACGAGAGGGAGATTAGAGTTCTCCCCCTCGGATGGAAACAAATACGACTTTCGGGGATTAGCTTCCCCCCCGATGGATACAAAGGCTGCTTTCAGGGGCTCGGTTCCCTCTCTGATAAATACGAAGGTCGCTTTCTTAAAAAGTGGGATTGAGGACAGGTTGGAATCCATTGAAGCGGAACAAGGAGTGTTTTCAGTGAACTCTTTCGACTGCGGAGAGATTCGAAACGGGCGCATCACGCTTGTGGGAGGAGCTTCTCCTACCTTCTTGACTTGTAACCGACTATAGTTGCATTGGCCCGATCGATGGCGTGCTTGACCGCTTCGGTGGCTGGAACGGCTAGGGCGTCCTGAAGCCTCGCCGCAGCTTTGCTCATCCTGAGACAAACTGTGTCATGATTGCGTCGGATGTGATGTGTTTTCCGCTGGCTGCGGGATGGATGGATGGATGTTACTGGCTATACCCTTTGTGGCGGGCGGTAGCTTGCGCCACCTAACCTAAGTCTAATAAAGACAAACATTTGATTCCTGCCGGCCTTCTGAGCCAATTTTCTCCCCCTAACTATCACCAGGTAGTGTGGGATATCACCTGGATGACCTTTGGGGGATCAGGCAAAAAAACTAAAAACATCACCCCCCCCCCTCTTCCCCCCAGCGAGGGAGTCGCCAATTTTCCTCTGGTCAGGCGCCAGCGTGCAGATGCAAGTACCTTACGGGCCACGAACCTTGACCCGGATTGTCGGAAGCTCGAAATGGTTTTTGAAGCCGAGATTCTGTGGACAATGAAGGCTGTGTCGTCTCACTACTCCTACAACTCCTGTCGGGACGTTGCCTGCGTTTTTCAAAG